ATCCAGAACATACCAAGAACTCTTACAATTCAAGAACAAACAACTCTATTCAAAAATGGGCACAGGACTTGAACAAACACGCTCTTAAAAAAGATACACAAATGGCTAACAAACACAAGCTAAGATGCTCATCCCTGTTAGTCACTAAGGAAATGCAAATCAAAACCACACAACATCACCTCACATCCGCCAGGATGGCTAGAACTTAAAAAGGACAGACAACGCCAAGTGTTGACAAGGATGTGGAGAAATGAGGCCTCATACACTGCTAGTGGGAATGGAAAACACAGCTGCTATGGGAACCAGTTCTGGTGTCTCCTCAAAAACTTAAACATAGACTTCACCTTACGACTCAGTAATTCTATTCCTAGGTATACATTTACCCAAGAGAAATAAAACATATGTCCACACAAAAACTTGTACACAACTGTTTATGGCAACACTATTCATAAGGGCCAAAAGGCAGAAACAACCCAACCGTCCATCAGCAAATTAACGGGTAGATATTTTTGCATATCTATAAAATGGACAATTCAGCCATAAGAAGAAATGAAGTACTAATACATGCTACAATGTGGATAAATCCCAAAACATGCTAAGTGAAAGAAGCCAGAACCAATTATATGAAATATCCAGCGCTGGCAAATCCATGGGCAGAGAAAGCCGACTGGTGGTTGAGAGGCTGGGAGGAGGGGCACACGGGAGGGAGTGGTTAACGGGGTACAGGGTTTTCTTTTGGTCTGACATAAAGTGAACTGTTTTAGAACTGGATACAGGTGGTGGTTACTCAATACTATGAATGTGCTATGTGTCATCACTGAAATGCATATACTTTAAAAGGGTTATTATTTTCATGTTTCACCTCGTATTTTTAAAACATCTGCAGACAGAACACAGTTCCCCAGAGCTCGTCCCTGTCTGCATATGGTCTGTGTGTGTACCACTGGCATGGACATCACACACAGATCTGTCTCCTTGCAGTTCTAGAGCATTGCTAGAATGTCCAGTCAAACACCATGATGTTAAAAAAAAAAAGGACTGATGTGTTAAGGTGGTAAAATTATGTACCTTCCCCGTTTTGATTTGATTTTTTTCTTCAATACATGTACAAATAGACTTCCCTCCCTCTCTCTCTTTCCCCTTTGCATATGCCCAGACGGAACACACCATATCAGGCTTTCTCCAAACTGACAAGACTGGAACTCTGTCCACCCTACCCTATGGCTTGTGAGCTTCTAGCAGTCACTTGGGGTTAATTGGTCACCTCCATCCCCCAGAAACAAATCCTCCCTTTGCTCTAAGAACTGAAGTTTTAGAGGCTTTTCTGGTTCCTTTTCCTTTTCTGAATTTACTTTCTTCTCTCTCCTCCACACTCCTGATCCTCCCTTTCAGGCTGCTATTTGTACTCCCTGCTACATGTCCTCTTTCCCATTTCTATGTTTTCTCATGTTCACGACAAAAGCATGACAAATATTAAGCAGTTTTCCTTCTAACTTGCCTGGAGTTTAAGGCCAATGTCTATAGTAACATCTAAAAGCAATAACATGGGGAAGAAAGAAAAAAAAAGGTAAACAAAAAATGAATCATGATTCTACTTAAAGGAAAAAAAAAAAAACAAAAGAAAAACAAAGGAGGAAACCCACAATTTCCATCAAATACTCACCTTTCTTTACTAATATAGTCTTTACAACCAAGAATTAGTTTTTAAATGCAACCTAAAAAACCCTCCTCATTGAGTAAGGCTGTATCAGGTGATGAGTTTCACTCCCAGAACAAATATTTACCTAAAAAAATTAGTTCCTGATACTGTTAAGAGCTGCCAAAGAACACCTATTCTAGTGGACTCTGGAGGACCTGCTGAAGGCATTGTTGCTGAGTCGCTAGGTTGCATCTGCTCTTTGCATCCCCATGAGCTGCAGCCTGCCAGGCTCCTCTGTCCAAGGGATTTCCCAGGCAGGAATACTGGAGTGGGTGGCCATTTCCTTCTCAGGGGATCTTCCCCACCCGGAGATCGAACCCGTGTCTCCTGCATTGGCAAGTGGATTCTTTACCACTGAGCCACCAGGGAAGCCCACCGAAAGCACAGCATTGTTCAAAAACTGTCTGTGCATTTATAATTCGCTTCGATTTTAAATAAATGTCTGATCAAAACAGTATATTAAACAAATAACATTTTCAACTTTCCTCGTTGGTTTTAGCTTAGACACAGTGAGTTAAGATATACCCCTTATTGAGAACATTTCTCACGTTCTACTTTAACTTCATTCTTGCTTCTACCAGAGTGGAAGCTCACTGAGGGAGAGCACATATCCTGCTCATCTCCATTTATCTCCTGCCTGGCAGGGGCTCTGCAAACTTCACGGCTGAATGAGCAGCTGCTCAAAGAGTTCTGTTGTTGCTGAAAGAGTATGACGCCTAATTCCCACAGGAGGGCTCTGGGACCCAGCTTCCCATACCTTCTGTCTTTTGGCTTCCTTCACTCATCTGTCTGCACCAGTTTGGTTGTTCTCCATTTACAAATGTAGTTCCCTTCTTCAGTTGCTACTTCCTCTTATGAAAAGGTTTTACTGCCTGCCAGGAAGTCTAGACTTAACCTTAAACCACAATTATAACTGCAACCACAATCATAATTGCCAGTTGTCTCCTTGATCTATATTATGTACGATCCCTTGGTTTGGTTTTATGTTCAACCATCCTATTTATGCAAAAATATTATTTCCTTGAGGGCAGAAACACAATCTCTCTGGGAGCCATAACTCTTGTCTTCTACGTCTCAGGGTCTGAATCATCCTAGACTCTGAATCATTATACTTCCTATCCCAAAGTTTAGGAGACACTGAGAATCTAAGATAAAATTCTCAAGTGAAAGAATAAAGAGGTACACTCATAGAAGATATAAATCTGTAGAAAAAAATGTTATGTGTTATCAAATTAGAACTCTGGGAAGAAAAGAGACTCTCAAGCAAATAACTACACTTCCAGAGTTCTAAGAATTCCACGTTCAGACACTAATGGCAATGAAAAGATTAAAAAATAAAAGCAGATTTCATTACTCTTCTGATGTGGCAGTTTTAAAACAAGGACTGTTTTTTTAAAAAAAAAAAAGTGTTAAAAAAATACATATACTTTATGTACTGTCCCTATCAATAAGACACTTTTGGAAGATTTAGAAGAAATCATAGTAATAATGTGTCTTTCAAGTGGCACATACTTATTAAGTTTTATCATCACCATAAAAATATAATGGAATTAAGATCAGTCTATTATGGGATATGAGAAAAAAACTCAGATTCTAGGGAGCAGACTGTTCATAGTTTTAGCAAACATGGATAAAGAATGAAAACCATCTCTCAACATCTTATATCTAGCAGTTTGCTTTTTTTAAATGTAGCAAATTTAGCTCCATTTTTACCATGAACAGTTTCACTCATGTGGCTGACAGACATGGTTTGGGATAAGAACTGGGAGTTCAGAATCTATACTTTTGGGTGATGGGACATACCTGTTCTGATTCTTAAAGCGATGGAATTCCAATGCCCAAGTGAGTAAAAAAATTGGGGCTAGAAAGCAACAAAACGGATCTGAATCTCTGATCTGTTTCTGCCTTAATGAACTCCTGTGGCATCTAGCAAACCACTGGTTCTACAGAAACCAGGAAGATTCCCCCAGAAGAAAAATAGGGAGGAGAGTGCAACCATGAGGAAAGGAGACAAACAAAGAGTTAATTCACTCTACCAACCCAATCTCCTTCCCAAAGACTCTGTCCTCTATGGTAGCCTGCCACGTTCCACCCAACAGCAGCTGCTCATGATAATCAATGTCTGACAGATCAGAGAAAGCCCTTAATGTGTCGCCAAGGGGCAGTTCAACAGATGGTATGGTGACTTACAACCAGAATCATTAATTACACTCTCTTATTAGTCCCGGGGCACAGGGCTAAAAACGCTTCCTCAGTGAAAGATGAGCATTTCAGATAAATGACCGTCTGGTACTGCCCATGAAACTCCCCTGAGGATTTCTGGTCAGTGTTGATTTCTAAATCTAAGCCATACTATTTTCATATCTCTTTCCCATCTTCCACTCTCAAGCTGGCTAGGAATATGAAGTTCCCACTAGCACTACCCATCACAGCTCCCGTAATCACTGCAGGTAATGACATGGGAAGAAGCGCCATCTTTCATTTCTCTGCACAAGTCAAATGACTGTGTTGAAAGGCAAACATAATCGTGGCAGCCTCAGGGCTAGCTCACTTTTCCGTCCCTCTGGGCCTGAGAAAGTATTTTTTGAGTGCAGGGTTGGCAGATGGGGACAACCCCCCGCTTCCTTGATCTACTCTGTTTCCTGTAAGAAATGACTTGATTCAACTCAAAACTGTCTCCCCTTCCCAAGCCACTGGTTGCAACTCTTCTCTATGTCTCTTTGAAAAAAAGAAGGGCAGAAACTCCTAAAAAGGAAGCCTAGCTGCAGGATGCAAGCAAAAGTTCCCAGATATCCATACGGCTGGTTCAGTTATCAAAGGACTGAGATAAACTGCCAGGTATTTAATTAAGCCAGACAAATGCATGGAGAGAAATTAGTTCTGGAGCCGCTCTCCAAGGGCATTCAGACAATGTCAACTCAGGGTAAAAATCAGCTCCTTCTCAACAGTTTGAGAACTGGGCTCCACAAACATTATCAGGTTTATGTGGAATTCTAGAACAGACTGCAGACGGAGCTTGGATGCACACTACTTACTAGCCTTAGCAAGGATACAGGGTGGAAAGAAAGCTCAGTACAATCCAAAAGAAAGTCTAAGCATTTCCCAAACGCAGCCATGCCCTGGCTGTGCCGAATGACTACTCTTCTCAGACCTCAGCCTGCAACTGTTTCCCTTGAAATGTGAGTTCAAACTAGAGCAATGAGACCCCAAATGCTGTGATTCAAGACTTCATTCTTGCTTTCTGCATTCCACTTTGTTCTTCCCTGGACATATAAAAACATGACTTCGATTTTCAACTTGGTTTAAATCATTACAGTATCTGATAGATGTTCTCATCTCATGGATGTTTTAAAGAAAAAAAATGTGCTAATTAAGGCATAATAAAACCCTCTAACGTGGGCTCCAGGAAGGTAAACTTGGGGAGTTTGGGTCTGCCTTGCAGTGTACTCACTTCCAGTTTTTTCTCCTTTTCTGACAAAACGTCTTTCTGGTTCTGGGTGTACTCCACCAACATCCGAGCCAGCTGGCGTCGGTCTTCCAGCTCCGCCGCCAGGCGCCCGTTATATTCGGCTAGTAACAGACATGCTTCATCTACTGTTTTTGAAAGACGTTCAGCTGCCTCTTTGTCTAAATACAAATCAAACCAAAAAGAGAGAGACAATAAATAATGACACAGGCATAATTGCAAACACTTCTGGGGGAGGTTAGCAGTTTCTCCCCTAACACTCAAGTCTAAGAATAGGCTGGAACCTGTAGACAATGGACTGGCTGGCAGAAAAATCAAAGGTACTCACTCCTGTCAACAAGATGGGACCTTTCTGAACTACCTGAAGTGAGGCAATTGTACAAAGAGGTGAATCTGACAAAGGACTTCAAAATGCCTATTCCTATAAAAGCTCTACAAATAAACAGAGAGATTTAAGGTTATAGGTAAAATAATATTTCCCCATCTCTGAAAATTTCAAAACTGCTTTTTTCATATTGTCATTAAACATTCTTTGCATATCCATCTGAAATACAAAACTAAGCACCCATTTCTTGAGTGTGAAAACTAAGACAATGAAAGCTACACAACAGACTCAGTATCGTGGGCTTTGCTGAGAAGCTGCGGACTCAAAACCATACCTCTAAAATGGACCTATAGGGACTTCCCTGGTGGTCCAGTGGTTAAGACTTCCCCTTTCAATGCAGGGGGTGGGGGTTCGATCCCTGGTTGGACAGCCAAGATTCCACATGCCTCACGGCCAAAAAACCAAAACATAAAACAGAAGCAACATTATAACAAATTCAACAGACTTAGGGGGAAAAAAAAAAGCTTGATTAAAAATAAATAAATAAAATGGACCTATAAGATTCTATTTCTTAATCTGTGTAAGCATTAAACCTCTTTTGTTCAGAAAAATATAGAATCTGATAAAACAGAAGCTTTTAAATGCTTTTGAATGTGACTCATGCTAAGAAATACACTTTATATAAATATACATTAAAAAAGAAACGAAAGTTTCATTAGACAATACTTCCTTCAGTGTGAGCAGAGCATTCTATCTGCTATCTCACTAAAAAAAAAGAAAAAGGATGGTTATTATCTACCAGACTGACTTCAGGCCCAATTAATGGGTTGCAGCTCATTGTTTGGGGAAGAAACTGCAGAAGAATTGAAGCATAAGAAAGGGTATCCTTGGGAAAAAGTGGTGAACCACACTCAACCTCAGGAAGTAAGAAAAGACAAAGGATGATTTGTATTTCAAAAAACTGATAAAATTAAATATGTGTGGGAATGGTGAGAGTAATATTTAAGTATGTATGTTGCTGTTGTTCAGCTGCTAAGTCGTGTCCAACTCTTTGCAATCCCATGAACTGCAGCACCCTAGGCTTCCCTGTCCTTCACTATCTCCCTGATTTTGCTCAAACTCATGTCCATTGAGTCGGTGATGCCATCCAACCATCTTATTCTCTGTCACCCTCTTCTCCTCCTGCCTTCAATCTTTCCCAGCATCAGGATCTTTTTCAATAAGTCAGCTCTTCACCATCAGGTGGCCGATAGTACTGAAGCTTCAGCATCAGTACTTCCAGTGAATATTTGGGGTTGACTGGTTTGATCTCCTTGCTGTAAAATGGACTCTCAAGAGTCTTCTCCAACACAACTGAAAAGCATCAATTCTTTGGCACTTAGCCTTCTTTATGGCCCAACTCTCACATTAGTAGATGACAACTAGAAAAATCATAGCTTTGACTATACAGACTTGGCAAAGTGATGTCTCTGCTTTTTAATATGCTGTCTAGGTTTGTCATAGCTAAAAAGGCTTTAATGGATCAAGAGAGTTCGGTGCTTTGAAATAAAGCACTAGAGACGCCAGTAGTTCCATGGGATAAACTGAAAGTGAATGTCAGTGATACAGATCTGTTGCATCTTCTGAATACAGGTGGTCAAGGTGAGAGAGTTCAGCACAATCACAGGTAACCCGGATTTAAGAATTCTCCACAGAGTTTCTCTGGCAAACAGTGCCTGACTATTAGATGCTGCCTCAATATGAATACTGGAAGGTGAACTGTTGAGGGATTCCAAATTAGGCCTGATGCCAAAAATCAGGTACTTCTAGGCTCCTCAGGGACAAGGAAACAACAGGATGTTCTTGGTGGAGGAGGAGTGAGCCAAAGAGAAAACAGAGAGAGACAATTTCAGTCACTGAGGGTAAAGAGGACAGCAAAACTTATTCTTCTAGACTGGTGGCACAGTCTAGGAACAAGTTGCTGGGATCGTTAGGTTGGTTACCTTCATCACTGCTGAACTATTTTTGTAATGGTTAATGTCATTAAATTGTTTCAGGGCCTGTGGCAGGAAATGACAAGTAAAACACTACTTTTTGAGATTAAAAAGAAAAACAATTGTCACACTCCATGAAGTTGTACAAGGGAAATAATTCATTCACACAAATAATTACAACCCAGAAAAAGAACCTGTGACAGTTTTATGAGCCAAAGAAAAAAATGCAGTCGAAATGTAGCAGTGAGAGGCTCACTTGGATGAACTTACCTGTGGCTACCCTCAAATGCTTTGCCCTCCCAAGTCCACAGACAAGGGCTGTGTGCCTCTTTCAGCCACCCCTTCACTTACACATGGGCATCCTATCTGCTTCCTCCGAGACTCCGCTGTCTGGACTGCCACCTGCCTTTCCCCAGCTCCATCACGCCTCTTCCCCCAGAAGCATCCCCACTAACACGCACACACACTGCTCCGTCTTCTGACCACGTGCCCTCCCCAGCTCCCGGGCCACATGCCTGCTCCTCTTACAGCAGCGCTACGCAGTAGAGCTCTCTCTCTCCTCCCAGTACCCACCTTCTCTCCCAGCAGGTCACTAAACTCACTCCCATCAGACTTTTATATCCCAAACCTTCCAATTAGCCTGACATATAAGTGGACTCCTATTGTGTGTCCAATGCTGTTCTAGGCTCTGAGCCAACAGGTAACACAAAAGACAAAAACGTTCTGCCTTCAAGTTTACATTCTCAGGGAGGAAGAGAAATAAATAATACACTATATTTTACTTACTTACCAGCTGAATATAAGAACTCTAGAGAACAATAAGGCAAAGCATTTGGAAGGAGGTGATGAGAGAACAAGTCATGTGACCATCTGGGGAAGATCACTCCAGGCAGAGGAAACAGTCAAGTACAAGGCCCCTTGGCAAGGAGCCACATGGCCAGAGTGTTCTGAGCAGAGTGGGGCATGATCCAGCTTCTATTTCAGTGGATCACTCCGGTTACTATGCTGAAGACAGACTGATGGCTGGGTAACAGAGCCAGCAGGGAGAGCAGACGGGGAGCCACTGGGATAATTCAAGTGAAGATGGTGGAGGCTCCCAGCAGGGGGCAGCAGCGGAGGTGGTAACAGGTGTCAGGTTCAAGCTGTAGTTCAGATCAACAGGAATGAGGAGAGGGTCATCTACTGAGATGGGGAAGACCATGAGACAAAATTGAAGGGAAGAGGAGAAGTTTGGTTTGGGACAGGTCAAGTCTGAAATGTCTTTCAGGATATCCAACTCAGTAACACTCAGAGCAGGAGGCTGGATGTATGGGTCTCAAGTTCAAGGGAGAGGTCAACAGATGTAAATTAGAGGATCATTAGCACAAAAATTGTTATTTAAAGTCAACAAACAGGATGAAAGGAACTGTCAGTGAAACTAACTAGGGAAGAAAGCTAATTACTCAAAATTAAAAGAAGGAGAAGGGAAGAAATCAACAAAGGAGCCTGAAAAGACAAGAGACTAGAGAGGAATGCTAGGAGACACTGGGTTCCCAGCTTCCTCCTGCTGCCAGCAAGACAGCATCAGAAACTTGGTGACTTAAAACAGCACAAACATATTATCTTGACATTTATTATCACAGCCCTTTCCTCTATCTTCAAAACACATCTCTTCAACTTCTGCTTCCCCAGTCACATCTCTTACTCCTGCTCTCCTTTCTCTTCTAAGGACCCGGCCCACTTGACTAACCCAGGAGAATAACATCCCCACCGCAAGATCCTTCACTCAACCACATCCACAAAGTCCCTTTTCCTATGCAAGACAGGCTCTAAGGATTAGGACATGGACAATTGGGGAGAATCATTATTCTGCTCACCACACCAAGTGAGAAAGTATTTTTAGGAAGAAGAAATGATCAACTGGGCCAAATTAAGAATGGGCAAAAATATATAAGGCCTTGATAAGACTAGTGGGGGGCACACTCTGTCCCCCTTCTGATGTCTATGTCAGAAGCTTTCTCTGTCCCTTTTTATACTTTAATAAAACTCTGCTACACACACACACACAAAAGAATAGGCAGAAAAAGTTCACCACTGAATTCAGCAACATGGAAGTCATCAGCCAACACTGATAAGAGCAGTCAGTAAAGTGAAAGCAAAAGGGGCGGGGCAAAGAACAGAGACAGGTGAGTGTGCGCCATCTATCTAGAATGTTTAGCTACACAACAGAGAAAGGAGACAATAGCTGGAGGAAGGTATCAGGCCAAGAAAGAAAATTTTCCCACATGGGAAAAAAATAATTATTTTTATGCTATGGAGAATGACCCAGTGGGGGGAGGGGGGGGGGGGAACAAAACAAAACTGGAGATGCAGGAGAAAAGGGGAGAATTGTCAGAGCAGTGCCCTTGGGTGGGTAAGAAGAAACAGGCTTACTAGGCAAGGGGCTGCTTTAGAAAACAGCATGCTCATCCACAGAAATAGGAAGAAAAGTTAGCCAATGTTTATCATTTGTTTTGCCCAGCCACATACAATTGTGAGTGACGGCTGCCAGGAGCTGGGGGTGGGGGTGGGCGTGGGGACAGTGAATTGTTACTTTAGTGATAAAAAGCTTCAGTTCTGCAAGATGGAACGAGTTCTGGAAATTGGTTGCACAACATGAATGTACTCAGCACTTCTAAATGGTACACTTCAGAATGGTGAAAATGGCAAGTTTAGTGAGGTGTATTTCACCATAATTAAAAACCAAAATAAATGAGGGTGTGTGTGAAGGGTCATTACAAAGACCTGAGGCTGAGTTACAGAGAGCATGAAGCCAGGAGGGGGCTAAAGCCTGGGAAAAGGGGGAAAGATCAACAGCCTGTGGGCTCAACAGGTCGTTCGATCTAGTGGGTTTGATGGCTGGGGTGGGGGCAGTAGAGAGAGAGAGCCTAGAGGCTGTGCTGTGTTCTCCAGCTAACCCACTCCAGCCTGAAGGTATTCCTGCCCGCTCTGTCTGGGTAGCACTGCCTTCCCTCACACCTCCTCACAGCTTGCTTCCTAAATGGGGGGGGTGGGGGGGTGGAACCCACGCTCACTCCTTCCTCTTGACTGACCACGAATAAAGCAGGAAGAATGTCAATTGCCCCTCCCTGTTTAATTGGGGGTGATCATCACAAGGGCGAGATGATATGATTAACAATATAAGCCCAGGGTTCTCAGCTGAAGAACCTCGAGGGGGTGTGGCTGGGTACAGTGTAAAAATCATGACATTGAGTCATACATTTTTATTTTGTTAAGAGGGTCATGAGTTTAATGCTTCCCCCTCCTTTGCCCTCCTACACACACAGTTTGTACCCTGGTTTCAAAAGACCTTACTTGAACTGAGTACCACAGGCTGTGGCACGCTAGCATTTCTGCAATAATTCCTAGAATCACTATTCAAGATCAGACTATTCCAGCAGCTCCTTTGTTCAGTCTGTGAGTTATGTTTGCACATCTTAAGACAATAGAGAACCCAGCTCCAGGTGGAAGGTCTGTATCTGTAGAAGTTGGCATGTCCCGGGGTCTGATGCACTGGAGATATGTTCCCCCTCCCTCATCCTTCACCCAACCTCTAACTTCTCACCTGTTATTTTTTCCAAAAGAGAAACGTCTTGCACTTCCTGGGGTAAAGAAGCAATTTTCTGTCGGACAGTAGCATCCCCCGATGCAGCATTTTCTAGGTCCTGCAAAGCTTTGATCAGCTCCTCAGTCTGTACAAGGAAAACACAGACAACACTATCCATGAAGACGTGTGGGGATGTGGGGTTTAGAGAAACTTAGCTAGAGTTCAACAAGGTGAAGGCAAATTCTAAAAATGATCATCCCTGACATTTAAAAAAGAACCACTGTCCTTACTCCCGAGTGTATACTGAATCAGTGATACGAATTCTAAGAATGCACATAGTATTTCTAAGTACAAGGCAGAACACAAATGAAATTCTACATAACTGTGAAAAAGAATTTTTTTTTGAAGAGTGTGTTTTTGGCAACTTAAGAAAATGGAGTCTGGTTTACATTGCTTAGTTTCAAAGGATGCATGATCTCTAGTATAGAACGGCTTCCAGTTTAGAGTAAAGAAACACATATCAAACGCTCTACCAACCTGTGTGTTGACTGATTAAATGAAAAGACACTAGCTACTTCAATTCTTTCCTGGATTTGCTCTACAAAATGAATATCACAAAGATGATGTTTTTGATTTCAGCAGCCACTAACAAAATTAAATGTGTCAAGCTCATTAATTATAAACAAAGAGGGAAGAAAACCAACAAACAAACCAAGAATGCATATTCTGTGTATACCAAAAAGGGTTTTGAATTGTCAGGGAAACATACAACACTGACAGGTGAGCTAGTTCACAGTGACCCCCCCAGAGTACCATGGCGATGGCAGTCAGGTTATCCTGAAAGTTGGTCATTTGGGCTGTTTTCTTCAAAGTTTTTAAATGCAAAGATAAATGGCCTAATACTGTTTTCATTTAACTCCCAGGCTAATTTGACATCTTAACATTACACAAATCAGACATGCTTTCTATTTACACAGGCCTTAAGCACACTCATGTGTAATAAAATAAAGCTGCATTGGGCAGAATGAGAGGCAATGCAACTCAGTGAAATGTGTATGGGTTTTGAAGTCAGCCAGGCCCAGATTCAATTAAAACACCGAGTAAGTTACTTAATTTGTCTCCTTGAGACTCACTTTCTTTGACTGTAAATGAATACATAAATAAACAGCTAAAATGAACCAACCATAGAGTTCATGAAACAACTTACACAAGGGGGTCAAACAATGCAAATAAATGGCTAAAAACTCAGTCAATGCTAGCACCTGGCCTAATATTTAAATAGGCTACAGCGTGGCAAATTTCTGTTTCTACACAGACTATCCTTAGATGCTAACACGTGGTTTACTTACAAGACAAGCCACGGTAGAGGACTTCTGAGTGTCTTTGTAACATCTACTGGTTTACAAAACTGCTTTTAAAGAATATCTTAAATTTCTAGGAGTGAAAAAACGCCAAATCCAATTACTCTGTAAAACACAAATCCATCCCGGAGTCGAGGCATGCAAAGACAAAATCAAGCCTGCTTCACGACGTGGATCCTGCACCCAGTGCCAACGGCGGCCCTCCAGTGATTCCATACTATTGATCACTAGCTCCACCTTGTGGTCAGAATCTTCAACTAGGGGTCACTTCAAGCCATTCGGCCCTATGCTCTGGGGGGTCAAGACATACCAAGAGGGGTCCTGCAGAAGGATCTTGGGGGGAGTAGCTTCCAGGATAGTCGTCATCCTCCTCCTCTTGTATTTGCTGAAAAGTTCGCTTCAGAGATTTCTTCTCCTCTGTTGCTAGAGAAAAGAAAAAAGTGATACATGTGGGTCACTGCAGCCTGAAGAAGTAGGTCAAATGCTAAGCACAATGGGTCACAAGTAAAAAAGGGTAAAAGAGTGTACCTTTTCAGAGATGGCTTAACATTAACCCTAATGCCACTTATTTTCAAGTGGTGGTCATTCCATACATTATTGAGAAGAGTCAAAATGGTCTGTTAGTCATCTCAGATTGATTCACTGGAAAAACACCACCAGAAAAAAACATGTAAAAGTGAAACTTACCAAGCTAACACATTTCACTAAAAACCTCATTATCTTTGAAAGAAAACAAAAAGTTAACAGGGAAAGTAAAAAGGTAACAAACCTCATCAGAAAATATAATAAAGAAGCGAGCCAAGGAGTGCCAAGGTCTGTAGAGACTATACCGTGTGTAAAATGAGAGACTGCGCTTTTTGGGATCATTTCAGAAAATAAGCAGTAGAGAGAGACCCATCGATAAGGCCGTATCAAAAGCTCTAAAAACAAATACCCTTTAAATCATCCCTTTAAGAACAAAACAAACCTAATTTTACACTAAAATTTAAAATAACCATTGCTGAGCATGATGATACTACTGAGAGAAATGACCTAAGTCAACATTTTAAAATTAACCACTTTTGAGGCCAACGGGTTACATTTTGTCATTATCTGTATCATGTGCTCTTAAATTTTTATGATGGATGTATTAATTCCAAAGTCATCCCTTTTGCATTAAATTGGACAATACAAATTAAATGCCAAACTACTGAGGGACATAAAGCTAAATGAGAAATTCAAGTTTGTAAAGTAAAGAAACTATTGGATGCCAAACATATGCCAGGAATTCCAACAGTTTCTTTACATTTGATTTTTTCAACAATTCTAAGGTGTTGGTGTCTCCATTTTATAGGTGAGAAAATGAAGACCCAGAGAGGCTAAATAACTCATGTAATGGTATGATTTCAATATCTGTGTTCTTTCCATTGAACTCAACTAAAACTTACTTAGTGCCACACAACTATCCTCTCATCTTGTCAAGTGAGAGGCACCACGCACCTGCCTCAGAACTCTGTGAGTTATAAATAGGACATGGATACTTTCTGCTTAATTCAACATTCTCTTCTGGAACCCAGGATGTATCTCCTGTTCTCTACCTTACATGTTAACTGAGCAAACTATGTTTGATGTGAAAACCAAGTCAATATCATGGGTTTCTTTTTTTTTTTTCTTAATGTCTTGTTTGCTCTACTAAAGAAGAGGAACAGCAGGATTTATACGACGGGCAGTCCTATCTTCTCACTATTCTATTATGCACAGATTTATTACCACGGTTTGGTTAAATGACACCATTCCCCCAACAACACACTTTAAAATTTCAGTTGTCATGGTGTATTTACTCAGAGTAACTGCATCAACAACAAACCTTGCTGCTAACTTTGGTCCACAAATCACTATGTAAAAAACAGAAGGGCATCACTTCTTTCAAGGTCAGTAACTGGTCACTGTTATTCAGTTCACACACAGGCAACAAAGTGATCAGTCGTGTTGATTTAGTCTCCCAGTGTCAAAATCCACATGATATTTTATAAAAATAAATAATCAAAACAGGGAACTGACTGACAAAGATGAAAGAACAACAAAGAAATTAAAATTAATGCTGGAAATGAAATTCATGTGAAACATAAATGGGGCTGTACAAGAGACGGCTGGCTGTAGGGATGCGGACCCTTGTCATGTTCTTCAAGAGACTCTGGATTCATAGCCAGAGGGAACTTAGTGAAGGCTAACTTATCAACATAAATGAAGAAAGTGGTTGTGATGAAAAGAATGACAATGTCCTAGAGGAAGTGATGCTGACAAAATTCACTTTAGACGAATGCTTAAGAGACATTTCACAACACTGAAAGCACAAAGGAAAAATGTTGGAAACTGATCCAAAGTTAGGAAGGAGCGTGACAGAGACGGAAAAGAGGCAACAGGCTTTGTTCAAGCCACTCTTGATAAGTCTGTTACAGAGAAATAAACATTGTACCTCATGTTTCTAATTTATGTGAAAACATGCTAAATAAGCCTTTATTTTACTTTCTTGTTTTCTTATACAATTGTGATCAACAGTGAGTTTTTCTTTCTTTGACAAAAAAAATTTTAAGTTACAGAACAATTGTAACTTTCCCCATTGATTATTAAGATCACTTTGCATGGTTTTCAGCTTGACCAGTCATTTTTACAGTCCTACACTATGCAAAGCAAGGATGGCTGTTATTTTTCAAACAGAAAACCTGTAAGGCTACAATCGGCATATGAAATATCTAGCAGTACTTTGCACACAGTGGCTGCCTCAGTAGCGTGTAGAGTGTGGTATGACCCCGTCAGCATTCAGTCACTACAGCATCAAAATGGCTATGTTTGTTTAGTAGCCACAAGAATGTAAGCACAGGAGCAAAAAAGAATTTATAGTATTGTTCTGTTCACTTTCAAACACCTAGAAGAGAATGGTCCATAAATAACTGTTAAATACACTAAAGAAGGTAGAAAAAACTAGAAAACCTGAGTTTCCAACTCTCATACAGAAATTATTACATATAAAAAGATCACTGAACATCTCAGGACACTCAGAATCACTGAATTCAGATAGTGGAAGCCCTTACTCATACCTATGTCTTTGCTTTCCCCACTGCTCCCCCACTCATTTTTCATGAGAATGTCAAGGCCCACCAGCTGAGATTTCTCTAAAGCCAGAGAACTTGTTTAGTAAGTCTGGGTCCTACAGCAAAGCGTTCTGTCTCCTAAGCAGGAGCTCCTGCTGTCACTCACTCACAGCAATGCAAAACTGAAATCAAACTGATGGCAATTTTAGGGCTATTTCCATCCTTCACATCCTGATGGAAGAGGGTGTAATAGGAAGTAACCATCATCATCCTACGTTTCCAGTTCTCTCCTGTCTCCACTTAGAGGACCTACTGGAAATAAATTATTTATCATTTCCCCCACAGGGCTCCACCTTTCCTGAGCTATCTAGTTCCATTATGAACACGTTCACTGGCTCCATCTTCCAAGTACCATGCCTTGGAGAACAGCAGAATCTCTCCCCAAGTCCCAACTTGTAACAGATTTCACACCTGTGAGGAATTCTCCCATATGTCCTCTTTCTGCTGCTTCTCAAAGCCTCTAATCAGCCACCTGTCCTTTCTCATGCCTCATCCAGACCGCTGTCCCAAATGCATCCTGCCTCTTCCAATCACTCCTTCTCCAACATGGACTATTCTCTCTTCCTAAAGCTGAGCTCTGGCCCCATCAGGCCTCTGTTCAAAACCCTGGAAAGGCCACCGAGGTTCGGTCTACTTGGTAATGAATGGTAACGCAACATCACTCTCAGCACTCCCTTTCAACCGTCACCTTCTCCCTTTAACCCCACGGGCCTCTCTTTCAAAGCAGCTGGCCCTGCCACTTTGCATGGCCGTTGGCAGGCACAGGCCTTCCCTCTCTGATAGAAACCGTCAGGACCTTATTCCTTTACAGCCCTACGATGCTCAGCAAAGTGCCAACACACCTGAGCCTGAAGCCTCCTGAGGGCAGAGGGAGCACAGTGCTTGGAAAGCCCCAGCGCTGTGCCACAAATGACCATCCCTGCCATCCTTTACAGGAACCGGACTCTCCTCTGCTCGTGTGCAGAGTTGGCAGTGAGGATGCCCAGAATCCTCAATTGAGTCACACAACCATTAAAACGACCCAGGCATCTGCCAGGCCTGTCCCTGTGTGGACGTCAGATCAGGCACCTTCCGCTATCCATTCGGCTCTGACCACAGCAGTTCCACGCATCCCCTTCTCACGCCCTCACTCACTCTATTCATAGGCAGGGCAAACACCTCGGGGGCAAAGTTCCTTCTGTCCTCATCTTGCACACCTTCTGTTCTATCCTCCAACTCATTCCTGTGTCTCCTGGGGGCCTTGCACTCAGCTAACCGTCAAATGCTCTGGTGACCGAAGGGTCTGTGGTATGCTTCTTAGAGACCTGACTATGATAGAATTTCCCACACTAAAACTAATTCTAAGGCAAGAAATTAGCCCGAAGGATCCCCAATCACATTACAAAATGCAGTCATCTACCCAAAAAGCTGGACCTTCTAAAGATCTACTAAAAATTTCTAAGATTAAAAAAAAAGAAAAAAAAAAGATCCCACAGATTTTATATTACTTTTATAATGAAAAAGAATCAGGAAATACTATTTCTAACAGCTGCCTCATTCTTTGTTCCCTCCCTGCAAAATAAGAAGAGTTTTCTTTTAAAAAGCATATTAACTTCTACTTGTGGGGAGAAAAAGATGTGCAGCAAACCAAGGGCTGACACTCGAGGCACAGTTCTGGAAGCACCCCATCCATCTCATCTCACTGGACTGAACCGCCAGGTCAAGACCTGAACCCGGGAAGCTAAGCCTAGAGTGTGTGCTCTGAACCACCATGCTTTCCAGCCTTGTGCAAAATCTCAGGGACTGAAAATACTAACAAGACTCTTCCTACTTGTGCTATTGGCTTGTATTTAGAAACTCAGAATATTAGATATTAGAACTGGGGTGGGGGGGGGGGCGACGGGGTGCCAAAAAGAAGTCATGTGATCACATTAATAACTTCATACCTACATGATCTCAAGTAATCCTCACACAAGCCTATGAGGTATTACTATTAATAGCCATACTGTACACTGAGGAACCTGGGGCTCAGAGAGGTCAAATGCCATGCCCCAGGTCACACAACTTGCAAGTGACAGAGCTAGGATTCATACTCTGGAAGTTTGCTTTCAAACTCTTGCCCTGAATAGCTAAACTAACTATACTAAAGGTCCAGGGGGGAAGTTGAGTGACCTACTCATGAATTCATATCCTAATTCAAGTCTTCTGAATCCATGTGCTCGCAAGGAAAAGTTATGGTGTGAAGAAAATACGCTTTTAAGTTATACAGACCTGGGTTTATATACACTTACTTATCAATTGTATCTACTTGGACAAAATTAGTCTATCCTTTTGAGTTTTAATACTGTCATCTGAAATACAATACCAAATACATATAGTCCTCAAGGACCTAAAATAAATTAACAGGAAAAGAAGCCAGCAGAGAGACTGGAGCTGAATAAATACTGCTTCCTTTGTGTCTCCCTTTCTCTTCCAAAGTCTACAACTAAAGGACACTGCATGATTCATGTGGGACTCAAGTAAATGATGAAGTGCCACCCAGACAAGCAACGGCTTGAGTATTCCCAAGAACAGAGACAACTCTAGAATCCCTGGGTCCTGTACCTGGGAGACAGGTGAGAGAGTCAATTCCTAGGCGGGTTGATAAGAAGTCTGGGGGTCCCCCAGGGGAGAGGAGTCTGGGGTTCTCAAGGAGGAGATAGGGGTCTGGAACTCTCAAGGAGGAGGAAAGGACAAGCTTTTTTTTCCCTCTACATTCGTTAGTCTTAGTCACATAAAACGTTTTTTTCTTTAAGCCGGAACTGAGGATTACACAACAAACAGCTTAGTTTAAACTCTACTAAGGATTATAGAACAACAATGTATCCTGCTTGAGGGCAGTTTCTCCTTCCTGAAAACCTTCTGGCTAATCCTGTTACCTTAAAATGTAAACTGTGGGAGTGGGTCTGATAAAATTTCCACAAACTTGAGACATTGTTTTGATTTATTGCAATAATTAAAAAGTATGTAACTCCCTTGCTAACACTAGCAAGGGGGGCATTCTCCATCCCCCTTCTGATGTCTATGTCAGAAGCTTTCTCTGTCCCTTGTCTTACTTTAATAAAACTCAGCTACACAAAAGCTCTTGAGTGATCAAGCCTGGTCCCTGGTCCAGCAGCTAAATCTTCTTCGGAGATCACGAATCATTCACCATAAGCTATCACAGGTATATAAACTCAAGAAAAGTCCAGTTCTAAAAATTTCTAAACTCACACATTCTAAAAGATTAGAACTGCCAAAGTTCCACAGGAAAAATTTTATTCCAAGGGTAAACTCTATAAAGCTGTCTGCAGACAAAGAATTACTCATGAATTAACACTGCAATATAAATGGACTATTTAAATTTGGAAATAAGTTTCTGGAAAAACTCATCAACATTCTGAAAGGATCGTGTAAAATATTCTGGTAATTGAAGTCTGAAAAAGACAGAGAGAAGACAGTGAGTTAGCTGAGACGAATACACACATTGGAACCTTTTGATACGTGTTTTCATCTTTACAAACTAGAGAAAGAGAAATTATCTTTGGATCAGCATCATCCTCCACAGTAAAGGAATATTGCCTCTATTGTTAATGTCTAGACACTCAAAAAAGAAAAAAAAAGAAAAAAAAAAAAAACCCACCAGAAACCTAATGGAGCTATTTTCAAATCTACTGCTACCACAAATCCCCCAATTAGTCTGACTGCTCCCTGAGTGCAGAACTATTTCTCACTCCTCTCTGCTCCTTCCTATACCATCTAGCAGAGCTGTTTACTCATAGCATATGTCTGGCAAATGTTTGCTGAATTGAAATTCAACACTTGGCTTCAAACATCATCTTTCAGAGCTCTCCTACTTGCCCAAAGGTGTTTTTAAGAAATCAGCACTGTTTACCAATGAACTTGAAGTCAGAGGAGAGAAAAGAATGCTGGATAATTCCCCGACGCTGTGCAGAAACCTCCAAAGGACACAACACAAACACTGCCAGAATCCAAAGCAGGAAATATCTTGCTTTTCAGAGTGACCCCAAAATTGTCTTCTGTCAACTCCAAGTAAAACAATGATCTGCAGTCTGAAAACACTTATGCCATTCTTAGCAAGCCTCTAACCTCTAGTTTCACAGAAAAGTTACTCTACCTTAAAACACATATAAACTCAGATCTGGAAGGGATCATGAAAAGTATACAATAAAGAGTTGCTAAATGAATATCATCATGTATGCTAATCACTGTTAAATTCTATTGCAGACACGTGTACAAAGTACCAGAGGAACAAGGACAGAATTGGCTACATGTGCCCAGACAAGCTGGCAAAGATGTCAGAATGAGAGTAGCATTCTTGAAGAGTAGGTTCACCACGTACAAGGGGCAGAAAGACATTTTAGGCAGAGGGACAGCAGATGCAAAGTAAGGGGAACCACAGAGCATCCAGAGGGGAAGTTGTTACGAGTGGCCAAAGAGTATGGTACATGTGAGGAAATGGGAGAAAAATCTGGAAAAGTAGACTAGCTCACATTATAAAGAGTACACCATGACAGGACTCAGACTTGATCCTCCAGGCAATGGGTATATATGCAGTCACATGAGAACTGTGCCAACCAGAATTCAATCACAACTAACCAGAAGCCAAAGAACCAAATAATGTTTCATCTTACTCCTCTTCAAAGGAAAAAAACAACATAGCTTTTAAGAAGGACTTGGCAAAATTCACATACATGCATGTACACATTACCTGAGGATATTCTTGGTTCAGTAAAGGCCAAAACTGATTTTTGATGACAGCTGACACCCATCAAAAGTACGACCCCAAACCACATGAATATTTAATGAAACTGAGTTCCAAAAGGGCTAAAGGACTTATTCAAGAGCCTACAGTAGTTAACGGCAAAGCTAGGACAAAATCTTACCCAGGGTACTTCCTAGTTCCCTAGAACTCTAAATGAGTTTGTTGTTCTTTTCCCGTGTGCGAGGAAAGTCTCAGAAAGGCAGGAGTGAACCAAGGAGAAAGTTAAAGTGAAAGTGAAGTCGCTCAGTCGCATCCGACTCTTCGCAACCCCATGGACTGCAGCCTACCTGGCTCCTCCGTCCATGGGATTTTCCAGGCAAGAGTACTGGAGTGGGTTGCCATACAGAGCAAAAGGTAGGGGACGAGATGATGAATAGCATGAATACTAGAACCAGGCTTACACGCTGCAAGCACTACATAAATTCTCACCATCATTTATGATCATCTCTCTCTGAAGAATCATACAATCGCTGGTGGTTCACAGCAACCCCCACTGCAGCTTTTCATATCTGATTCGAAAGGAGGCAAAGACCAAGAGCTGTAAGCATGTGGTGATGTCTCTACCTTTGGGGGGAGGGCTCTTGGAGTCCTCCATAGACAGCTTCAGCTGCTGGATGAACTCGCCGCCATACACACTTCTTTCTTGCCAGATGTTCAGCAATCTTTCTAAAGGCTTTTTACAGCCTTCATCTGCCTCTCTGCCCAGAAAAGATGAAAAGATATATATAAGCTTAAGATTTTTTATTTTTAATTAGGACAGATTTACTTAAAAAAAAAAACAAAAAACAAAAAACAGAAAACACCAACAACTGACTACACAATTTACATATTTAACAACAGAAGGAAGACTAAGGTACATGCTGTAATTGATGGATACTCAAAACTTCACCAGAAACTATATTCTTCCTGTGGCGTGTAGGGAAGAGAGAGGGATTATGTTACAAAAGTTGTCTTTTATCCTCTTTGAAAGGCAAATAGGGCAAAAGCCAAAGGCTCATTTTCACTGACAGAAAATTAACAAAAACCAATCATATCAATTGTAACAGCATACTTTTTAGAATGCATTAACTTAAATCTAGTGCCAGACATACTGCTGAAAAATCAAGGCAGGCCAAAACTTTTTAGGATGAGAAAAAAAAATAATTAAAATCAAATGTTTAAAATGGGGAATACATTTGTAACAACTCATCAATGCTAACACACCAACACCTCTAACATGCACAAATACAATTGTACACATATATATGTCAAGACTAATCTCAACTTTATACTCACTACTTCTTAATTATTTTCATTCCTTGCTAGGTCTACATTCCAGGTTCACACAAAGGTGTTGAGCAGATAATCTTAGAACACACTGAGCATAATACAGTTCTTTGTAATTTATATCTGAATGAAAGCAGCTAGATAGTTTTACTCTTGACATGTTACTCTTCTTAAAACAGACCATTTTTTAGGGCAATGACCATAGCTCACACTCAGCGTAAGACAGGTGTTTACCATAAAGTGTCAGACAGCAAGTGGAAGCGTGGAGGGAAGACTTTTTGAAAGGAAAACAAATCTGAATGGTTCTGTTCTGTGAAGCACTGAGGGATTTTACACAAGTGATACCCTGACATCTTAGCATCTAAGTCAATAGCTTTAACAGGAACCTCAAGAAGTAGTGAGTGAAAGTCGCTCAGTCCTGTCCCACCCTTTGCGACGCCATGGAAGGTAGCCCCCCAGGCTCCTCTGTCCAGGGGGATTCTCCAGGCAAGGATACTGGAGTGGGTTGCCATGCCCTCCTCCAGGTGATCTTCCCAACTCAAGGAAGTTGGAAAGTCCTGCATTGCAGGCAGATTCTTTATCAACTCAGCCACCAGGGAAGCCCTCCATGCCAAGTTCAACTTAGGTGGGAATTTCACCCACCACCAGCCCTGACAACACTTTTAAAACTTAAAAGATGAGCTGAAGTTTTGGCCTCATCTGGTCAGAGTATATTACTTACGAGTTATTAGTGGCAAATTTCGCTAAATTGGGGGGTCAAAGTACTAATTAAATCATGATACATGCAAAATTAATTATTCTTTTGTTCAGCCACTTTTTAAAATAAGTCAGAGGTCAGGATGAGGAAAGGGGGGTAAAACTTTCCACTGATAACTTATAAAACGTAAAGATATCACCTTGATATTTATAAGAAAAACATCTCTACTCCATCTTCAAAATACATCTAGAAACAAATTACTTCTCTTCCTCTGCTATCAGCCTGGTCCAAGTCACCATCATTTCTTGTCTAATGATGACAGCAGCCTCATTACTAGTCTCCCTGCTTCCACCCTGTCCTCCAATCATCTATTCCTAAGTTTTAAAACTCCAATCCTAACTGTATTGTGAAGGCAGTTCATGTCACTTTTTCTCCACACTTCCAACAGTTCTTCACATTCTCCCTCATTATAAAAGTGAAAGGCCTAGTAAAGCGGACAAACCCCTTCTCAGCCCAGCCCATCGTTTCCCTGAGCTCACCTCCTGTCCTCACTCTCCCTTCCCTCCACAACAGCTTCCTGGCCCTTCTGCCTCAGGGCCTTTGCAACTCGCCTGGAACCACATTACCCAACACAGCTCAGGCCCGGCAAGGCCCCTCTGCTCTCCTCCTTCAGGTGTGTCTGTTCACACAGCACCTTTCCAGTGAATCCTTTCCTAATCTTCCTATTTAAAAGTACATTCCTTACTCCTGCTTAATTTTTCTCCATAAAATTTACTATTTGGATGTGCTGTATGTACAGTTTCCCTGTTGTTTATACTCTTTCTGTTTGAATGTAATTTTCACAAGGGCAGGGATGTGTCTTCCCCACACTGCTATATGCCCAAGAATAAGCACAATAAATGCTGAACTGCAGTGTTTTTAATAAAATTTTAGATAGGTTTCAGCAGGCCAGACAATTAGTTAGCTGTCAAAGACCATTTTACCACATGGAGGTTATTCACGTCAGATATCAATTCAATTATATATCCATCTGCTCCTTCATTGGGGTTTGTGAAATACCGTGCTTGGAATACACTGAACAAGGTCTAGGTCCTCACCTCTAGGGCTTGATCTAGCAGCACCCCACCTCTCCATCCATACCTTAACATTCTAGAACGCTCAACCGTATTTTCTACTCAGCATTTTGCTGCCACTGGTGAATGTCACTGTGTTCATGCTATCCCTGCTCCCTTGAATGGAACCCCCAAAATGGAACAAGGTAAAGAGCAGGAAGCTCTGAGTAATTCTGGTAGCTGAAGTCTACAGGGAGTGTGTGGAAACAGGACAAGAAACTGGAGGGATAGAGACAGGGTGGCCTGAGACTATACAGGACCTTATTTTGTTGTTAAGTCATTACGGCCTTTATCCTGGAGGCAACAAAGTCCCTAATGTGATCAAATGTAGGCTTTAGGAAAATGAAGTCATTATATAACTATTGTAACAAAATCACAACTAACCAGAGTTTAACTGGTTGGTATTTTAACATAAAATCTGTTCTCTTGGGGCTTCCCCAGTGGTCCAGTGGTTAAGTCTGCCTTACAATGCAGGGAATGTGGGTTCGATCCCTGGTAGGGGAACTAAGATCCCACATGCCAAGGGGCAACTAAGCCCACATGCTGCAACTAGAGACCGTGTGCCACAAGGAAAGAGCCTGCTGACACAATGAAGACAGCTCACAGCCAAATAAATAAAGATATGTATTTTAAAAATTAAACAAATAAGATCTGGTGTCTGCAAATTTTCTTAAAAGAGAAACCAATCACGACAACAAATTCCTGTCAAGGATTTAGTTGAAAGGATTGTGAGGGACACCTACCCAAACACCACCCACCATTCCTGCAGCTGGTGGTTTGGTGCTCCATGAAGGCTGACAGTACAGCTGCAGTCTCACTACTGGACAGTGGATACTGATGTTCAAATCTGTTATCACCAAAAGATCTTCAAAAGGCTTTCACTATTAAAGGCTAAAGCCAAAAGGGCACTCTAGCTTAATGAGTGAATTAACCATGATAGGCTGATTCCTTAAGCACTATAGTAAAACAAAGTTTTGCCACCTAAGGTCCAAAGACAGAGACACAACAGACAAAAAATCTTTTTACAGATGGGGCTTTGCTGTATATAAGTAGCTCCAATGAAGACGAAGTCACTTTAGCACCTGAACTGGATACAACCAAAGCAATAAAATCATTTTATGACAGGAGGAGCTATCTTTTCAAGTTGTACTAATTCCATTCTAATTAGAGATATTTAAGTGAAAGAACACCAAAAAACCCTTGCCACCTATCAATGAATAAACTGAGAGATAAGTACATATATAACTTATTTTGTGGAACACAACTTAGTATGTATCTTAATTCTAATTAATCATAAATTCAACCACTGAAAATCTGCTCTAAAAAGTGAAAAGTATGTATTACACCCACGTGGGACTGCTGACTGAAGTGTCAGCTGGATACCCGAGGGCCCGCCAAGCCAGGTTACGGGTCTCCCTTTGCAGTTCTACTAAGGGCACTGCCTTCCTCGGTACACCGACTGCAGCTCGTGTTTCTCTCTTATCCCGTGCCCAGCAGGCCAATGGCGGGCCTACTCAGGACAGAAATTCTAAGTACACTCAGCACTTCCAAAAGCACCTCATGTAAGGGCAGAGCAAAAACAGTCCTTTGCAATTGTGCAGAAAAGGTGATGGATAGGGAAGCCTGGCGTCCATGCAGTTGCAGAGTCTGACATGACTGAGCAACTGAACTGAACTGAAAAAACACTTAACACGGCAGGCCTGAGACTGCTGCCCTGAGAAAGGCCTGCTTACAGGGCTGGCCCTTGATTGGCATCTGGGAACTTGTATTTCAGACATGGTCCTATCACATCCTAACCGATGAGGGTGGTTTACTGTGCTTAAACCGTTTGTACAAACAGTATGGTTTTATGCTGAACACCTGCTTTTCTTCTGGGAGTCTAGAATTTTGGCCAAGAGTGCCTGTGACCAACCCCAACAAAACCTCTACGTACTAAATCTCTAATGGGCCCCCCAGGTAGACAACACTTGGCATGTGCCGTCCTAGCTCAAAGTGGGAGGAACTGAGTATGTCGCACGGGATCCCACCATGAATGCGCTCCTGGGAGTTCATGCCTGGTCTCCTCTGGACTGCACCCCTCGCATCTTTCCCCTCTGCTAATTTTGCTTTATATCCTTTCACTATAATAAATCACAGCCATGAACACAACTACACACTGAGTCTGGTGAGTCCTCCTAGCAAGTCACCAAACCTGGAAGTGGTCTTGGGGGCCCATGACTGTTATAACAGGAAATAAATATGTATAGAGGGATAATTCCACATTCATGTCTCCAGAAATTAATTTCCTACTGAGCTTTCAACTATTTCATCCATCCATCTATCTGGCATCACCCCTGGAATATCTATTAGCCATCTCGAACTTAATATAGCCAAAACAAAATTCCTGATTTCCTCTACCAATTCTTTACCCCCATCTTCATCACAGTAAGCAGGGCCATCCAGTCATCCATACTCATGTCAAGAACCTAGAAATAGGCACCCTTTGACTTCTCTTTTCCCTCACTACCAGCTCCCACTTAATTCCCACAAATCTTATCAATTTTACATGGGATTGGGCCACACAAATCTATTCATACACATTTAGTAAAGCTGTAATCTTCTCACCGCTTCTGAGTCCTAGCCAATGTCATCTCTTGCCCATGCAAGTGCAACACCCTCCATGACCATGTCCCTGCCCTTTATGATTCACTCTCCACCCCAAAGTGGAGGGATCCTGGAACAAAAGTCATTGGACTCCATCATTCCCCTGTTTAAAATCCCTCACTGACATCCCATCAGGACAAAATCCTAACACTCTCCCAAGGCTCACACGGCATATGTGACTGTCACCAGGCTACCTCTCTGGTTACTTAAACTGCTATTCAAATTATATCTACTCACAGGAGCTTGGGTTCCGCCCTGTAGCTTACATGGTAAAGAATCTGCCTGCAATGCAGGACACCCAGGTTCAATCCCTGGGTGGGGGGAGATCCAGAGAATGGCAACCCACTCCAGCATTCTTGCCTGGAGAAGTCCATGGACAGAGGAGCCTGGGGGGCTACAGTCCAAGGGATCAAGAAGAGTGGGACACAACTGATCGACTAACACTTATTTACTTACAAGCTTGGCAAGCTTTCCAGGACTTGAGAGGTTTTCCTCCACCCCACCCCACCCCAGGTGGCAGGGGGTTTGAAGGAGAAAGTAAAATTATCATAAAGAGACTCCTAATCAATTTCAGTCAGTATTAATGGGTCTATCTTTGCTCATTAATTGGTCACAAAAAAACAATACAGAGAGCATTTCTCATTGTTGATAAGGTGCCTCAGGATCAAAGTGGACTGGCTGAACTTTCTATCCTAATAACGGGGGTGGGAGTAGGAAGGGAACTTAGAAACATGGGGATCTCAGAAATAATATCCAAACAGAACCTTAAAAGAACTAGAAGAATGCAAAGAGGAAAGATAACAGGCATATTTTATTTTTTTTAGGATCAGGTCTATTTTCCCCACAATGCCATGGAATTTGCCAAGACATGTTTACAATGTCTCCTAGATAGGTTTTAAGATGAAACCAAGTAGAAAATGAATTTTTAATCTTGGTATTGCTCATCCCTCTTCTCCCACCCCTTTCTACTTATCCTTTTCTGATTTGGGGGCAGCTAATGATTACTGTTCAATGTTTAAGGAAAAATGTATATTATCCCTATAGGAATTATTTTAGTCAATTTCCTATGCTCTAAATTAGTTAACTTATTCAGTGACTATTTACTGTATCCCAGTGACTATTTACTGTATCTGTGCCAAGGCTGTGCAACAAAGTTGCTCAGCTCTTGGGACACCACTAACATCAAGACTAAATGGTGTTACCTAAGCTACATAAGCCAGTAGCTCTATGCCAGACACTGCACTAGATGCCTGGAACACAGCAAAGAACAAAAAAGAAACAGTCCTTCTCTTCACAGAGTTTATAATTCAGTATACTCCCATGAATGAGCAAAGACTGTTGTTTAACTTTAACCTCACAACAACTCTAAAGAGATAGGTAGTAACATCCCCTTTTAACCAATTATGAAACTCAGGTTCAAAAAGCTAAGTAACACATCCAAGGTCACTCAGAGAGTGTTGGAGGTAGAGCTATAAGCCCACATCTAAGAAACTGTGAACTAAATCTCAAAAAAATTGCCTCTCTCCAATTTCAGAAGGCTACTCTAGTAGTCTGCTCTAATTTTATTCACTGTTATGAGGATTCCGTATGTTTTCAAGTTCCTAACACATTCTGCTTTTTCAGTAGCCATGTTCACAAAAAAAGTCACTTGGCAAACAAATATTTTGTTTCCATCTCTATAAAGCTAGATGTCATTTCTTAAAAATGTTCTGAATTTTTCATTTCATTCTTTCAAACTTTCCAAATCTTTCATGGAATGCCAGAGTTATTTCCACACTTAAGGTCTTTCACTTACACTTTAGACCCTAGAACAGTTTTTGTTTAACCCACTAGTCTCCTCAGTGCCAGTTTCCTTTGGCAAAGATGTCTACTTTCATATGTTTACTTAGTAACATTCTAGTGAAAGTAGTTTGCTTCTTCTGGGCAGCTCAGTGTCAAAAGCAGTTTGCTTTTAAATGAATAAAAATTATTTGTACAACTTTTAATGAAATTTATGATTTCCATGATCTCAGCTATATGCATACCCTACACTTCCATCCTCTGTCACAAAACACAACAGTGGCAGAGACTTAATATGATAGAGCCAGAGAAACTTCACACTAATAATTACTATCTTTGCAGTTACAATAATGACTACTATTTTTAGTAAATTAGACATCCAGACACCCAGAAGGAAGTTAATAAAAACAAAGGCACAAGCAACTAATTTCTTGCTAAATAGCACGTTTTGTTACTGGAAAGTTCCCTTGTACAATTTAGCTTTGTTTTTTGACCATAAGCTAATGAGGTAACTCAGCCAAACCAAGGAAAATAACATATTCTAGAAATAAATTCAACAGTGAGTACATCTAGGAGAAAAGATGTGCTTCAAGTGCTAGTCTGAATCCCTTCAATACAACAAAATATCTACATGTCTGACATAGTTCTCAAGGGCCCAGGCAAAACATAAAACCACAATCTGGCCTCTCCAACACTCTCTATAAAGCACATCTCTTGAAAGTATGAAGTTGGTGAGTTACAAAGGTTATCACAAAAAAAGAACAAAAAGGAAAAAGTAATGCATTTAAAAATAAAACATACCTGGCAACGTGAGAAAAAGCATCCACAAGGACAGATTCAAATTCCCTTGTGAATTCAGGTCCTTTCCTTTTACTGTTTTGAATGACATCGTTGGCTAAGTATAGAAAAGTAAGCTTTCTATTTGATTTGGCTGGAAAAAAAGAAAAGATAATTTAGCTTACACCAAGGAAATTCTCAATCCACAAATCTTTTGCCTTACGCTACTCCTAAAGAATACTAAGACAAACATTATCCACTTGAGGTCTAGACTGCTATGTTTGAAAACAAACAAACAAAAAAACACAATTTAAGGAACTCCTGGAGGTGTGTCTAGTAAAATAGAACTGAGAATACAATTTTGAAAAAACAGGAAACAAGAAAAGCCATCTTAATTTCTGTGTTAATCAGTGTAATTAATTGGCAATAAAAATGAAGATAATCCAAAGAAGATTCCTAAAGGATCAGCAGTCAATATTCTCCAGAAGACATGTTAAAAGCAAGATTTTCATTTATTCTGTTGCAAAGATGAACATTTCTAAGTGAAATCGCTCAGTCATGTCCGACTTTTTGTGACCCCATGGACTGTAACCTACCAGGTTCCTCCGCCCATGGGATTTTCCAGGCAAGAATACTGGAGTGGGTTGCCATTTCCTTCTCCAGGAGATCTTCCCAACCCAGGGATTGAGCCCGGGTCTCCCGCATTGTAGGCAGACGCTTTACCGTCTGAGCCACCAGGGAAGTCAACATTTCTAACTTAAAATAGATTTTTGTAATTTATGCTCCTGGACCAAGAATTTCTTTTTCAACAGTTCAATAACCATAATCAGTCAATGATGCCAACTCTACAATCCAGAGGAGTTTCTAGATGTACTCATGGATATTCATCTTAAATAAAAATACATGTTAATCTACATAATCAGCGAAAATTTACACGTTTGAAATGTGGATATGCAAAATCATGGCTCCCACAAAAATTCTTCTCTCTTATACCTACTAAATGCAGTATTCTCTATTACTGTACATGGCATCATAGATTAAACCATAAAAACCTCATGCACTATATCTGAGTTACAGTTGCTTGGGGGAACATACTGAATTTCCTGGCTTCTCTGCACATAACTTTTCAACCATGGAGTTACATCAATATCATTTTTGGTCCCAGTTTTCCTTTGTAAGAAATAAATAGTAACACAATCAGTTCAAAACATAAAGTTTTCTTCAACATCAAAGTGCCCGAAAAACTCAAGCAAGCCCTATGTCAAACTTTACACACTCAATTACTAGTTCTTCCTTGCTCTGAGAAACCATTTCTGTCTCTTCTGAAATGCACACAGCATGCATAAATTCTGACACAGCAGGCGTAAGGTCTGACATTTTAAAATGTAGTACAGGAGAATAACTCAGGTAAAAACAAGATTTTTAAGGCATGTTATAGTTTAAACTGATGACTTAAAGTGCTCATAAAATTGAACATGGATACACTGAACTGTATTAACCTTCTGGTAATAACCTAGTTTAGACGGACAACTGATGAGAATATTGAAACCTGGAGCTATCTTTAACTGTTCTAATGATTATTCAAAAGCAGAATGTAAGCATCAATAGTTTCAACATGCCACTGCTGCTACAAAGGTATGATTACAGCAAAAAGTGGTTTTTTTTTTTTTAAGTAAACCTTGTTCTAGGATATTGCTGCAAATTAAAACTATCACGTTAACAACACCATGAAAGTTGAAGATTCAGAAGTAAAAGAGACTTTTACAGAGAAAATCAGACTAAGTGAACGTTTACAAATTTGATATAATTTATGTTAAAAAAAAAGTCCAAAATCCATGTTGTAAAATGTCTACTAGGCCATTCAAGACCTGATACATTGTGCACTATTACAAATATGATAGCTAAGAAGATAGAGAGTCAAGGTTTTCACCATCTATGATGCCAATTAATTCTCATCACCCTCAAACTTAGCAATGGGAATTTGTTTAGAATAAAACTTCATCCCGCCACATTCAACATCCTGAATGGTCAACATTAGCACCATGTGTGCAAAGGCAATATAACAAAGCCTTAGACAGAATTCCCTGGTGGTCCAGTGGTTAGGATTCTGAGCGCTCACTGCCTAGGGCCTGGTTCTACCCCCAGTCAGAGAACTAAGATCCCACAAGCCACAGCCAAAACAAACAAAAACAAAAAACCCCACAAAACCCTAGAATACTTGAAAATACACAGTCATAATACACAGAACACACACACACCCCCCATCTACTCCAGCCCTTGTTCAGGTATCTTTCCAATATGTCAGTACAGATCCTTTCACTCCCTACAGAGGCCCATTCCAAATTGGTTGAAACAGTTATTGAGCAAGGTTTAAGTTAACTGACAGTCCAAAATTTTTCACTTGTTTGGCTGGTTTTGACATCTAGGGAAACTAACTTTTTTTTAAAAGGTCTATTTACCTGCATTCAGGATAAAGTACAAAACACTACTGAAAAATGTTCACCTAAGAGTATTTTCCCTGGAGAAGGAAATGGCAAACCACTCCAGGATTCCTGCCTGGAAATCCCATGGATAGAGGAGCCTGGCAGGCTATAGTCCAGGGGGTTGCAAAAGAGTAGGACAGGACTTTGCAACTAAATAACAACACAACAGAGTATCTTACACCAAACTGTTTCAAAAATAAAGGGAGGCGGTCTACCTAGAACAGAGTCCAAAGGAATAAATTAAGAATTATTCCTAGGAAATGGAAAGAAAATAAAACAGCAGGAATAAAAACAGTATCCAAGTAGGAGAAGGAAAAAGTTTAAAGTCTCATAGTTGGAGGCAAAAAGATGATGATCTGTGAGTGTCTTAAAGAAATGACTACAGACAGAAATGCCCACTTTTAAAGACTCAGGGTGGGCTAGGACCTAAAGGGCTAGTCAATTTGAACATTAGGGCACAAAATCCTTTTCCAATTTAGTGTGGAGGCATTTTCAATTCATGAAGGAAGCTTGGGTATTAGAAAACTGTATCCTAAAAAGAAAAAAGAAAACTGTATCCTGAGGCTTGGAAGACCAGCCTCTAGTTCTATATTGTCCAATATGGTAGCCACTAGCCACATGTGGCTATGAATATTTACTTTGTACCTAACAAAACTCAGGAACTGAATTTTCCATTGTATTTATTTGAAACTTCCTTAGTCACACATTTTGAGTGTTCATGACCAAGAGTCTACCTTATTGAACAGCAAATTTAAAACATTACTTTCATCACAGAAAGCTCATGTCCCAACTGGATAACCCTTAACAAAGCATTTAATCTCTTCGTATCTTTATCTTTTCATCTATAAAACAGGATTAATAATACTGACCTGCTTACAACATAAAAGTTCCATTATACGAGATTAGGGTTTAAGGAGCTTCATAAACAAAAGAACTCTAAATTGTTACTCTCAATAACTCAAATATGGTGAGGTGGGGAATCAAGATGGTGTCACAAAAGAAGTGACATTCGAGATGGATTTTGACATGCCTCTGAGATCCTACTAGAAAGGATCCTATAGAGGCAATTCAAATTTTCTCCCCACACCTCCGATGATGGAAATAATATCTGAGTGGCACAGTGGGGTACACGAATGAGGTTCTGGGAGCCCCAGGCTCTACTCTCCAACTACCTAGAAGGATGAGGGGGACCACCCACCCACATCTCGGTACAGCATATGGTATTTGTGGGGGGTGAGGGTCTCTGCCAGAGGACTAGAACTGGGTCTCCCAAAAGAACCCCAGATTTTGGTGTCTGCCAATCTGATGTTATCTGAGGCTCACGGGTTCTCTCATCTGCAAAACAGGGTGACATCTTGAGCTCACGGAACAGAGGACACATGTAGTTACCTCCTATGCTAGAAAAGGTCTACCACACACAGGCTGTCCAAAACAGCACTGAGCTTCGTTTCCTCCGCTTTTTGCTCTGAAACTCACCAGGGCATGAGACAGCTATGTAGTTGCCCATCTTTCCCCACCCGAAAGCAACTGTGGCAAAGACCATGTCACACATGGAGTCACCAGTATCTATCCAATGCCTACACTGTGCCTGACACCATGCTAGATGTTCATGTGGATCAGGCTGATTACTCTTCACCACATGCCCTCTGAGCCTTTTTTCTCACCTGACAAGTTTCTACTTCACAGAACTCTGAGAACTTAAACAAAAGACATGTGTGTAAAGAAATCACTACTGCACTTGGCACAGAACAAATGCACCATAAGTATCACTTATCATCTTCATTTTACAGATCAGGAAACTGAGGAACAGACATTAAGCCGCCGGGGCTCAGTAAATGACAGAGTTGGGCTTAGATTCCAGGCAGTTGGCTTCTGGGGCCAACAGGCTTTCAAGCACCCAACCCAGTGCCTGGCACATGACAGGCTGAGCTTAATCAATGGCGGCCAGATCGTGAGCAGGATCTAGAACCAAGGAGAGCTGCGTGAGAAGAGGAGCCCGAGAGGCGAGGTCTAGGTGGAGTGGCCTCTCAACTTCTCTGTAATGGCAGCGACTATATCCACTCCCCAGGACAGTGCTGAGCATTGAGTGCAAGGACGTACCAAAGGTCCTAGCACACTGACTGGCACAGAATAGTCTCTGTAAGGGCCAACTATCCTCATTTCCGTTTGACAGATGAGAAAACAGAGGCTTAGGAGAAACCTGCCCGATATCACTCAGCTAGTAAAAGTGGCTGAGCCAGGGCTCGATCTGGGCAATCTTACTTCAAATCCCTAGCCAGCGCCTGGCACACAACAGGCCAGGCCCTGTACCCTCCACCTGGAGCTCAACGGGGCCGAGAGAATAATAGTCAGAAGTGTCAGAAAAAGCCGGAGGGGGAAAACGGCTGGATGAACTGCGAGTCCTGAGCCCCGGTCGGTGGAACTTCAAACCTTCCGAGGCCTCGGTTTCCTTCTCCGAGAAATGAGAACACTGTCTTCAACCTCAGCAACCGCAATCGATCAGAGGCCCGGGCCTGGAAAGCCAAGGCTCAGCTAAGAAGCTAGAGGGGCCGCGGGAGTGGGTGCGTACGAGGGCTACCCCGGGGAGGACCGGAGGGGGACGGAGGGGATGTTTACCTTTGCGGAGCTCGCGGTGCCACACCGAGACGATGGGTCCCGCGTGCTTGCGGTGGTGGATGAGCCACAGGGACAGGGTCTGCACGCTCTGCTGAGAGTTGCTCAGCTCCGAGAGCTTCTTCTCCAGCGCCGACTCGGAGAAGGAGGACATGGTGGCGGCGGTGAGGCCCGGCAGGGAGCGGCCTAGGCCGCCCAGTGCGGCGGGAAGAGTGACCGCACGAGGCCGGGGCCTCACTCCACCCGCCTGCGGGACTCTTTACGGACTGACAGACTACCCGGGGGCCCGGCGGGGGAGGGGATGGGTCTCTGCAGTAACAGGCACCCGCACCGCCGCCACAAGATGGCCACCGACCTCTCACCCCGCCGCGAGAGCAGGGTCAAAGGGCAAGCGCAGAAGTGGTGGGGCACCGGGGTGGGGGGAGTCAGAGTGTAGAAAACACCCCAGTGTTGGAGGCCTCTTTGAATCTCGCTCTTGCGTACTCCGAGAGCGGCAGACCGGGAAAAGAGCGCACTTCGACGGCCTCCGGAAGGCGCTTTGACCGCTCGCGCCCGCACGCCGGCGCAGTGAGTCTCATCGGAACCCTTTCTCCCGCTCCCGTAGAACCTTTCTGGCGCTGGGCGGTGCGCGAATTACGCGTCACTTCCGGCGCGGCGGAGGAGGCGGGAGAGTGAGGGAAAGGCTGGAAGACGAGGTAAGGGAAGAGTGGCGCGAGCAGAAGGGAGCCCAGCAACCGCGAGCCCTTAGAGGGGAATCCCAGGGAGACAATGAGGCTGAGAGATCGTAACCTGGGAATGGAACGGGGCCTTTCTCCTTCACCTGGCAGGCCACAGCCACACTCTTCCTCCTGCTTTCTGACATCCCGCCACAAAAAGCTTTTTGTTGGTTCTGCCAAGCCACCCACGTGCACTTTTTCTGCCTCCACACCTTGGCTTTTGCTCTTCTTTCTCCAGAGGTGACGTCCCCGTCCCCACGTGGTGGGCTCCCACTCCACCTCCAGAACCACCCTTAGTGGCCAGTTCCGATGTTGAGTTTGTGACAGCACCGCTGTAAAACACACCTTTGTGCTCTTGGTTGTGCGTGCCTGCGTGCGTTCTCACTAGTGTTTGACTCTTATGCAACCCCATGGACTGCCGCGTGCCAGGCTCCTCTATCCATGGGATTTTCCAAGCAAGAATACTGGAGTGGGTTTGCCGTTTCCTACTCCAGGGGATCTTCCTGCTCTTCGGAGAATTACAGGCTGCCCTCTGGGGTGGGGGTGGGGATGGGGGTCCATTTGACTGTTGCTCAAATTAAAGTATCATATGTTAATTTTGTGGGTGGGTAAGGAAGTCGGTGGTTTAGTTAACCTCCTTTAAGAAACACTATTTGACACTCTGTTTTCAGAAACAGAAATACTCTGTACCCTTTTCCTATTTCAAAAAAGTTATAGATTGCAGTTATCAAATCAGCAGAGAAATTTATCCTTTTAACTGCTATGGGGTGGTGGTAGGGAGTTAGGTTCTTGTAGACATAACAGAATTTTTAAATGTCCTGATCATAGTGAAACCGACCAGCTGAAGCAGATTCCACTTCGGAGACGCTGTTCTATTATAGTCGATGCCTGTTTTTGCTCTTACTGCCCTGTTTTTTACTTAGCTGCTTTTACTTCTCCAGACTGGAATCGTGATCATCATAGCCAACATAATGAGCTGCTGCTGTGAGCTAGACACAGTGTTTTCACACAGTGACTCATTTAATCGTCACAACAAAGCTATGAGATGGTATTATGTATTCCCATTTGGCAAATGAAGAAACTGAGGCTGAGAAAGCTTAGGTGACCTACCTAAGATCACATATCTAAGATTACAGGGAAGGGACTCTACCTATCTTTTTTACCCTAACACCTTATTCGTAGCTGATTGAGTGAATTAATATCAAAGAGGTGAAAAGCCTAAAATCACAGTCAAATAGTCATAATTATAACCTAGGGCCTTTGAGTCCAGTTGCTCAGTCGTGTCCGACTCTTTCCGATCCCATAGACTATACAGTCCATGGAATTCTCCAGGCCAGAATACTGGAGTGGGTAGCTGTTCCCCTCTCCAGGGGATCTTCCCAACCCAGGGGTTGAACCCAGGTCTCCCGCATTGCAGGCGGATTCTTTATCAGCTGAGCCAGCAGGAAAGCCCAAGAATTCTGGAGTGGGTAGCCTGTCCCTTCTCCAGCAGATCTTCCCAACCCAGGAATCAAACCAGGATCTCCTGCATTGCGGGCAGATTCTTTACCAGCTGAGCTACCAGGGAAGCCCCAAATCTAGGCCATCTTTCTGTATTAAGTAACAATGTCATATAGTGAGCACTTTTACACCAAGTTACTGTGTATTAAGCATCTTACATACATTCTTTTATTTAATTGTTAACAACAGTCCTATGGGATATGGGTATCACTATTTGATATATGAGAAAACATTAAACATGGATGAGTAATCTGTTCAGTGTCACTTGGACACAAGAAACAACAGAACTGGGAATCAAACTGAGGTTATCTTGTCACAGATTCTTCACTCTCAAGCCAGGGGTTCATTTATTCTTTCAGCCAGTAGTTTTTGAAAGCGTATGTCTGAAGCAGTATTCAGAATAGTGCAAACAGACTGAATCTTTGTCCTTGGAAGCTTATCTTCTACACAGGAAGATAAACATAGGCGTGTGTAAAATGAGCCCAAAAGTTTTAAGTGCCTTGAATAAAAATAAAGGAGGGTAAGAGGGATGGGGGGGGGGGGTTTCCCTGGTAACTCAGTGGTAAAGAATCTGCCTGCCAAGGCAAGAGACTCTGGTTGGATCCTTCCATCCAGAAGATGCCCTCGAAAAGCAAATGGCAACCCACTCCTGTATTCTTGCCTGAGAAATCCTATGGACAGAGGAGCCTGGTGGGCTATAGTCCATGGGGTCACAAAAGAGTGGGACACGACTTAGCAACTAAACAACAACAAAAGTATAGCACCTTATCCTATACAGAGTGTCCCATTTGTCTTCCACACCTGTACACCATAGCACAGAGGTCTTATATCGCCCATGCCTGTGACGAAGCAGAAAGAGATGGGGAGGAGGGGAAGAGGTTGCCAGGGAAATGGGTTCACTCAAATACTGATTGCAGTTCTGCTCCAACACCTCCCCAGGGACTGCTTTCCACAACCCAGTGGGCTCCACTGAACTTGGAAAAGATTAGAGTCAAGAACTGGTTTATTCAGTCACTCTCTGCCACAGTTGAACTCTGGGTTGTCTTCTCTGCTCACCCAGAGAATCAGCTTGTTCTGAGTGCCTCATCCCAGTATCACTTTCTGGGCCAGAATGCCTCTTGCTGTAAGTTATATAAACATCAGACTTCCCAGTGCCACTTTAAATAATCAGGGCTGCATTTTATAGGAATAGAATCTAGGACACCTAAACTTCTAAATCTCTAAACAGTTTCTTCTGTAATTGACATATTGTCACACAGGTGTGATTTCATGGCCGTCCCATAAAGGTGTTATGTATGAGTACCTTTTATAGTCATGCCAAAGTAGCAATTTGTTATACTCTCTTCCTTACAGAAAGCTCGTTTATGTATTTCTGAACCTATAACCCATTCTTTGAAGATCTGCAATTGTGGTAAATCTTCATCTGTACAGTATCCCATTGGGAGAATATACTACTCTTTATCCATTCTACTATAGATGTGCAGTAGTTTTTAATGTGGAGGCAATCGTGGGTAGTGTATTCCAGAACACATCTATTGTATGCATTTCTGTTGGGTATATTTATCAAAGAATGTAATTACTAGATCATAGTGTGTATGTATGTTTATCTTTAGAACAATAGATACTGCCTAAGTATTTTCCAAAGGGGTAGTACCAGTTATACTCTTATCAGAACTGAACAAGAGTTCTAGTTGCTTCATATCCTTGCCAACACCTAGTATTTTCTTTTGTTTTCCCCCCTTTATTTCAGTTTAGCCCTTCTAGTTGTTGTGTAATGGTGTTTTGTTGTGGTTTTATATTGCATTTTCCATACTAATGATGTTAATATCTTTTCATATGTTTATTGGCCATCTAGATATCCTCTATTGTGGTATGCTTATTCAAGTCCTTTTCCATGTTTCTGCTGCATTGTCTTTTCCTTAATGATTTATAGAAAATCTTTATTATAAATATGAATGTGTTGTCAGACATATCAGATATCTTTCCTCACTTTATGGGTTGTCTTCACCCTCTTAATGGTATCTTTTGATGAACAAAATTTCTTAATTTTAACATAGTCCAATTTATCAGTTTTTTTCTATGGTTAGCTCTTTTCTGTCTCCTGTTTAAGAAATCTTCGGCTACTCCAGCATTACAAAGATTTTCTTTGTTTTCTTTAGAAAGATTTATTATTTGACATTTCACATTTAAATCTAGTATGAGCTGTAATCAAGACCTATTCTTTGCCAGTTTATTTCAGTGTCACCTTTGTCACATGCGTGGAGTCTCTGTGAAGGGGGTTAAGTCTATGTGTGGGGGTTATTTCTGGACTCTATTCTGTTCCATTAATTTGTTTCTCTTTCTTTTTGCCAATAACACACTGCCTTTAATTATATCTTTACGGTAAATCTTGAAATCAGGTAGTGTAATTTACCAATTTAATTCCTCTTCTTCAAGATTATCTTAGCTATTACAAGTGGTTTGTATTCCCATATCAATTTTAGAATAATCTTGTAACTTTCTACAAAAATGCTGCTGTGTTTTGGTTGGGATTATGTTGACTCTGTACCAGTGTTTCTCAGCCAGAGTGATTTTTACCCTCCACAGGACATTTGGCACTATCTGGAGATGTTTTGGTTGGTCCTCTTAGGGGCATGCTCCTGGCATGTTGGGGATGGGGCCAGAGATGCTGCTCAACATCTGACAATGCACAGACCAGTCCTCTACCAATAAATTATCCAGCTCAAAAATGTCAATAGAACCACTATAGAGAAATTCAGAATTAACATAATCAGTGTTTCTTTGGGCTTCTGTCTACCATCTTATTAAGTATTTGTCTTCTATTTGACTCACTGGTTTTGCTTCCTTTTTTTCTCATTTTTTACCTTCCTTTGGATTAATAAAAAATATTTATTATCCCTTTTCATGCTATTCATGGGGTTCTCAAGGCAAGAATGCTGAAGTGGTTTGCCATTCCCTTCTCCAGTGGACCACATTTTGTCAGAACTCTCAACCATGACCCATCTGTCTTAGATAGCCCTGCATGGCATGGTTCATAGTTTCATTGAGTTATACAAGGCTGTGATCCCTGTGATCATTTTGGTTAGTTTTCTGTGATTGTGATTTTCATTCTGTCTGCCCTCTGATGGATAAGGATAAGAGGCTTGTGCAAGCTTCTGATGGGAGGGACTAGCTATAGGGGAAGCTAGGTCTTGCTCTGGTGAGCAGGGCCTTGCTCAGTAAATTTTTAATCCAATTTTCTGCTAATGGGTGAGGTTGTGCTCCTTCCCTGTAGAACCAGACATGGAACAAAGTTCCATGGATCAAAGCTATGGTCTTTCCAGTGGTTATCTATGTTTGTGAGAGTGGGACCATA